AGCTGCTTGTCAGCCAGGCTCTAGGGCCCCTCGGTCCATGGGGAGGGAGTGCTGCTGGAGGAGAGAAGGGGGGGAGCTCTGGTCAGCTCACCTGTGATAGAGACAAGACCTGGTGGGGGGGAGGGGAAACTTGCACCTGTGTGGAGGGAATTGACTCCGTGGAAGGGTTAGGAGTGGCGATGGGCCTTAAAGGGTTTGCTCCTGGCCTGGTGCAGGGCTGGGGGCCCCGCAGCAGGGGGCTGCCGTATGAGAGGCGCAGCGGAAAAGCGTGGATGTGCCTTGAGGGACAGCGGGCGGGGAGGTGTGAGTGTGGCTCCGATTTTGCTTTCTAGTGAGGGGGCAGGACCAGTAGGAGCCTTTACCAGAGGCCCCGAAAACTGGACTGGCGCACGCGGACCGAGCTCTGAAACAGTGGAGACCCTGACCCCTGCAGGATCAGAGCAGCTTCCAGAGGGGTGCAGAGGGGTTTAGGGCAGGCAGGGGGCTGGGTGGGAAGCTGTCGCCGGGTAAAAGGCGATGAGCGTCTCACCCCCTGCAGGTGGCGTAGGCATGCAAAGGAGCAGGCCGATCCAGGAGGCTGAGGACCTAGAAATCTGGAAGGGTTTGGGGACCAGCTCGACATAGGGTAGAATGAAGGTCAAAGATAGCAGGCCTGTTTTGAGCCTGAATGATTCAGAAGGTGAATGGAACCCGGGAGCAGAGCCACTTTGGAAGCTGTTTGAGGATCAACAGGAGAGTCGGGGGACTCTTCTGACCAGGGGGTCATGAGGCAGATCTGCAGCTCTGGGAGGAGCTTCCCAGAGCGGGGAGGGCGGGCGGGCGCGGGCGGGGCGCACAACGCGCGTCGCGGGAGAGGCAGCCACGGGGCAGTGGAAAGGAGAGCGGGAGGGCCTGCGGGGCGGCCGGGGCGGGCGGCACTGCAGCGCGCACGTCGCGCGTGCTGACTTGTGAGCAGGCAGGCCAGCAGAACCGAGCAGCCCTCCAGAAACAGGCCAGGCTCCAGTGAAAGGGGAACCTTCGCGTGGGATCGGAGGGATGCCACAGTTCAGTGAGGTGATGAGGGACTGGTTCATAAATTCCGCTAGAACAGTTAAGAACCATTTAGGAACTTGATAGAGGTGGTTGAACAACGTTGTGAACATACAAAATGCCATTGAATTGGCACACTTTACAATGGTTAACGTTATGTTATGTGAACTTCACCTCGATTTTAGGAAGAAAAGAACGGTCGGGAAAGAGATCGTGTCTCATACCAGGTACCACGATAAGCTGCAGGTGGATCAAAAATTAACACGTAGAAAATGAAACCCAATCTGGAGATGGTGGGGGCGATGGTTGCACAAAAGTGTGAATGTACTTGATGCCACTGAGCTGTGCACCTAAGAATGGTTAATGTAGGACTTCCTGGTTGTCCAGTGGTTAAGACTCAGCGCTTCCACCGCAGGGGGCATGGGTTCGATCCCTGGTCGGGGAACTAAGATCCCACGTGCCGTGTGGCATGGCCAAAAAAAAAAAAGGTTAATGTAAATTTTATGTTATGTATATGTTATCCCCCCCCAACAAGAAATGAAACCATAAAGGAACTCGTAGGAAAAATGCTGAGTTCCTTTATACCCCTGGAGTAGAGAAGGATTTTATAACTAAGAATCAAGACTCAGAAGCCATAAAAAGAAAAGATTGATAATTTTTAAGGTTTTTTTTTTTTTTAAAGCAACTAGTGCTCAAGCTGTTTTTTTTTTTTAATGAATTTATTTTTTATTTATTTATTTTTGGCTGCGTTGGGTCTTCGTTGCTGCGCGCGGGCTTTCTCTAGTTGCGGCGAGCGGGGGCTACTGTTCGTTGTGGTGCGCGGGCTTCTCATTGCGGCGTCTTCTCTTGCTGAAGAGCTCGGGCTCTAGGCGCGCAGGCTTCAGCAGTTGTGGCACGCGGGCTCTAGAGCGCAGGCTCAGTAGTTGTGACGCACGGGCTTAGTTGTTCCACGGCACGTGGGATCCTCCCGGACCAGGGCTCACACCCTTGTCCCCTGCGTTGGCAGGCGGACTCTTAACCCCTGCGCCACCAGGGAAGTCCCAAGATTGATGAGTTTTTCAAATTAAATCTTCTGTAGCTTAAACACAACATCAAGTCAGAGGACAAATGACCAACTCATATACAAAGAGCTCTTAAATATCAAGAAATGCAAAACCCTGCAAGCAAAGACAGAAATTCTCAGTTGACCAGAAGAGAACTACAAGCGACTCTTGAAATATAAGGAGATGTTCGACCTATATTTTCTCCTCTGTCTTAAGGGCCAGAATACAAACACTGAACGACCTGCTTTGTTGGGAGGCTGATAGATTCAACCCAGCACATCCCACGTGGATGGCAAGTGGGCGACTTCTACTGAAATGGCACCTGCATGCACCTTTGAACCAAACAACCGTGCCACCTAGGCATACACCCTGAAGGCGCACCTTCACAAAGATGGAATAAAACATTCCCAGTGATTCATTACAGTCCGATGTTTAATAAACGAGAGATTGGATGTCACACAAATGCTTTTTGATGAGATGGCCAAAATAAGCTGTACTCCACCCACACAGAGGAGCACTGCACAGCCCTAAGACAGAGGGAGAACTCTTGGTCTGTTTGTGATAATGAAATAATCTCCAGAATACGTTAAAAGTGAAAAAAACTGGCGTAGGATAGGGTGGGTCTGTAGCATGCTACCTTCTATGTAAAAAAAAAAAAAAAAAAAATTATTTTTGCAAAAACAATTGCTTTGAAAGAAAAAACAGAGAATAGTTAAAATGCTGAGCCATGGGGAGCGAGAGGGGAGAGGTACAGGAGGCAGGAGCAGCAGCAGGATGTCCCTGGATGAATCTTTTTTTAAGTTTTCTAACTTTTGAACCAGGTAAATGTTTACGTATTCACAAAAGAAAATGAAAAGTAAAACAGTAAAATCTATAGTTGTGAACAAGTTTATTTTGAAACTAATGAATCTAATCGTATATCAAATCAGTAACGTAAGCACACAGAGAAAATAATGATCATGTATTTGTAATAATTCGAACTTTAAACGTAATACTCTGGGACTTCCCTGGTGGCGCAGTGGTTAAGAATCCGCCTGCCAGTGCAGGGGACATGGGTTCGAGCCCTGGTCGGGGAAGATCCCACGTGCCGCGGAGCAACTAAGCCCGTGCGCCACAACTACTGAGCCTGCGCTCTGGAGCCCATGAACCACAACTGCTGAAGCCCACCTGCCTAGAGCCCGTGCTCCGCAACAAGGGAAGCCACCGCCATGAGAAGCCCGCGCACCGCAACCAAGAGTAGCCCCTGCTCGCCGCAACTAGAGAGAGCTCGCGCGCAGCAGCAAAGACCCAACGTGGCCAAAAATAAATAAATAAATAAATAAATTTATTTTTTTATTTTTAAAAATGGCAGTATTAAACACAATACTCTGGCCATATCATTACTGAACTGTCTTCCAAGGACGGGGGGGTGCGGTAGGGGGAGTATTGTTTAGTGGGTGTATCAGTCAGCTTGGGCTGCCATAACAAAGTACGGCAGGCTGAGTGACGTAAACGATAGCAATTTATTTTCTGAAAGTTCTGGAGGCCGGAAGTCCAAGATGAAGGTGTCGACAGGGCTGGTTCCTCCTGAGGCCTCTCCCCTGGGCTTGCAGACGGGCGTCCCTCTGTGTGTGTTTGTGTCCTAATCTCCTTCTCTTACAAGGACGCCAGTCAGATTGGGTTAGGGGCAAGCCCAGCGACCTCATTTTAACTTAATCACCTCTTTAAAGACCTGTCTCCAAATACAGTCACGCTCTGAGCTGTGGGGATTGGGACTTCAGCATGTGAAGGGAGTGGGGAAGGGGGATGCAGTTCAGCCTGCGCCAGGAGCATGAGGTTTTAGTTTGAGGAAGATGGGAAGGTTCTGGTGGCGACGGTTGAACAGCAGTGTGAATGTGCTCGATTCTGCTGAGGTTGCACTGAACGATGGTGAAGATGCTATGTTTTACCACAGTAAAAAATAAAAATGAATTTAAGGGGACTGAGGGTGCCGCTGAGAGGGTGACAGAAGGGGGCCCCAGGCTGTGTGCGATGGGCAGTCGTGGGGGACGGACAGTAGGAAACAGGAGTTCATGGTCTGACCACACAGAGGGTTTCCGAGTTTGAGGTCTGGGCGGCCAGCCGTTCCAGCCGCTGTGAGCACCCCCTCCACTCTCTGTCTGTGAAGCGGGCAGCATGGTCACTGCAGCTCTGGGCAGGTCCTCTTGCTGTGCTTCCTTGTGCTCTGGGAGCTCCTCCTTGTTTGCAGTTTTCAAATCCTCACTTTTCGTGGTTTCTATGGCGACTGACGTCCCCCTGAGAGGGGAGCGTGGAGGGACCCTCAGAAAGAACGCAGGGAAGTGAACAGCATGGATATGGGACAGGCAGTACAATCCAGGAGGGAGGGAGCATGACCTAGTTTTACGGCTGCTTCGCTGAGAAGATTCTGGCAGGTGCACTTGACTGTCTTATGTGTGTTGCACTGTCTTCACCAGGAGCTGTAAAGAGAGGTGACAGGATGCAGCACTTTACCTGGTGAAAAGCTAACGCTTGGAAACACAACTGTGAGGGTCAAGGACTTGGGAAAGCCCAAGGAATTCCAAGCCTCATCCGTCTTGTTTCTGGCCACCTGGGGAGAAACGAGGCCTAGTGAGACTCCACGTGCCTGTCCTGTCTTTTTTCCTGGGATACGGCCACAAGGAAGGCACCCTGGCTGCGTGGACAGGCTTTGTGATGTTCACATCCTGGCTCATGACTTCTGGCTGTGTGATCTTTGGCACGTTCCTTAACCTCTCTGTGCTTCAACTTCCTAGTCTGTAAAATGGGGGGGAAGAGTTCGCACGGTCAAGAGTTCTTGGAAGGGCTTGGTGGGTCCTCCCTAAAGAGTGGCTGGTAATTCCGTGAGGAGACCCCCTGGGCTTGGCAGGAGTCAGCCTCTGGTAACTGGTTCTGTTTCCTGTTCTCTTCCAGTTGGCCACGGGCAGAGCGAGGGGGAGAGGATGGTGGTGTCTGACTTCCAGGTTTTCATCAGGGACGTGTTGCAGCACGTGGACGTTGTGCAGAAGGACCACCCGGGGCTTCCCATCTTCCTCCTGGGCCACTCCATGGTGAGTAGACCCCGGAAGAGCCCTCTAAGTCAAGCTGGGCCCCAGCCCCAGCCCTGCAGTGGGTGGAGGGTGAGGGTCCCGGGATGCAGGGGGCCACCCTGCCTCTGGCCCCATCGCGCTCTGCCTGGCCAGCACGGCCCCCTCTGGGAGTTCCCAGACAATTTATGCTCAGGGAGCGAGGGCCAGCATCTTGGAGGCAGCCCCAGAGAAGCTCACCTCCGCCCGTTCCTTCCTGCCAGGGCCCAAGGCGCCAGGAAGGTGTCACCTCATGGTGGGGCCCCAAGGGCACTTCTCCCTGCACGGCCGCGTCTCAGGGCAGGAGGGCCCCTCCGTCAGCCTGTGGAGAAACACAGGTCCTATGCGTCCTGCCCGTTTCAGAGTCACACAGTACACATGGGAATTAGGACGGGGTTCCAGAGGAAACAAGTCCTTAAAGGTCATTCCAAATCCCTTTCACCTTTTAAATACATTAAACCCCCTAAGAATCAGCCAACTCTAATCTTTAAATCAGGGCTTCTCAAACTGGCAGCATCCAGGCCGAATCTGCCTCTAGACCCCCTGCCCCAGTGGCTATCAAAGAACGTTTTGAGCTGCTTGATTTTGAAATCTGGGTGACTTTTCACTCCCTTCCACCCCGGTCACTGCCGGGCTCTGTTCCTACGCGTCTGTTACCTGCCTGGCCCTTGTAAGCCTGTGTGGTTCAGGTCACCTTCAGCCTCAGCAAATAGCCAAGGCCGCAAGCCTTCACCACCCACGCTCACTGACTGTTTTTCTTGGAACCTAAATTTCTGGGACCTTTACTGAACCAGGAAAACAAAAAAAGTGTAGCAGTCTCTTACTAGCATCAGATTTTTTTCGGATCTCAAATTAAGGCTGACGGAATGGGTGAATTGGGAGTCTGCCAGCTTTTGGCTTGAAATGAAATAGAAATATGTTATTGTTTAACTTGCAGCCCACAAGCAGGAACCTTATTTAGATCTCTCTGAAATGTTTGCTGTTGGAAAACCCGGAGAAAAAAACATGTGAAAGCAAGTAATTGCAGGTCTAGTTTATCCAACATTTGAGGGTGTCTATTCCAAGGTACCGTCCTTGGGGCTCGGGGCCGGGACTGCAGCCCAGCAGGAGACCCGCGATGGGGGCGGTTAAGAGCCCATTGCTGGCGACGCCCACACCCACATGCTGCCCGTTCTCATTGCAGGGAGGTGCCATCACCATCCTCACGGCCGCACAGAGGCCCGGCCACTTCTCTGGCATGGTTCTGATCTCCCCGCTGGTTCTTGCCAATCCCGAGTCTGCCACGACTTTCAAGGTAAAGGGACTTCCGGTTCCATGAGACTCCTGCAGCTTCCCTGACCCCGGGGCGTCCGTTCACAGCTAGAGTCTGGGGGAAAGGGCTTCTCCCACGATTGTGATAAGGTTTGGACAAGTAGCAAGCATTGTTGTCCCTGGAATTCTGTAGTTTCTCAAGTCAGGTACTTTTTTTTTCCCAAAGACAAAAGAAAAATGACTTCCTGCTTGTCCATGTTTCGCTGGTGAACGTTAGAAGGAGGAAAGGTTACGCGGGTTAGGAATCCAGCGAAGGGGCCTCTGTTAACAAGCCGTGTGCTGGGCTGGAGCTCATTTCCGGGGACCATTGGCCAGCATCGGCCACGGCATGCGGACAGCGGAGCTGCAGGCAGTTACTAACGTGACAGCGCTGGCGCTTTGGCTGTAGTGCTGTCCATCCCTGAGCACTTTCACCTCTGACCTGCCGGATCCTGCATTCTGTTTTTCTGGCTGTAACGCTCCACGCGGCGCAACCCAGTGGTTCCCGCGTTGAGCTGGGCCTCCTCCCCCCTGAGGAAGGAGATGGGACTCGTGGCCTCAGCAGGGCTGCCAGGTTGTTGACACATTATGGACCTGAGTTTTCAGAGACAGGTAACCCGGTGAGGGTGGGGAATCCCAGCCCCGAGTCTCCCCGAGCAACGGTCAGTCTCTCCTGGTCTCTGGAGGACACTGCTGCCCCCGAGCCAGTTCTCAGGGCTCTCAAAGGAGCACGAGGAGTGGGTGAGGCAGTGAGTGGGGTCCTGGTCCGAGTAGAGTAAGCAAGATGAGGATCGCAAAAAGAGGGGGTCCCCACGGCGCACCGCATGCTTTGACTCGTGATTCGTTCTGCCCAGTGAGTGTCGGGCACGTGCTGGGCTCACACATGAATCATCTCCCTCGGCTCCCACCCTCACCCCAGGAGAGGTCGAGGCCTGCGTTTTACGGTCGGGACGACGGAGGCTTGGAAGGGACGAGCGACTCTCCGGGTCCACACTCCAGCGTGGTGGATTGGGATCTGGGGCTGTCCTCCTCTCCCCGTCCAGGGTGTTTCCCCAGAGAAGAAAGTGGATGTTTGCTGCAGCGGATGTTTCCCCTTTGGGAAGAGCCCAGGACCATGGGGATTTTTGGATGAAGTGCACCAGGGGATCAGGGCAGCTGGGCCCCAAAGTGGAGCCCACAAGCTTTCCCCCGAGTCACTGGCAAAGGGGCAAGGCCACCAGCATGACCTTCCGAGTCTGCCACTAATAGATCACCTTGTCAAATCAGGAGCCAGCTGTCCCCGGGGGGATGCAAGTCTCCTCTCATTAACCGAGACAAATGAGACTGCCCGTTGCCCCCAGACCGGAGGACACATCCTCCCCGTGAAATCTGTTGCTGCTCCAGGCTTCGACAGTTCTGACTGACATTCTGTGATTCGTCTGCCACCCCCGGACCACGGGGTTACCCTCCACGTCTCACCTGACAGCCTTCTGAAGGAGTCCCACAGAATCTTTGTTTAAAATTTAATTGACACATTCTTAAAATAATGTATCTATACAGTCCAAAATGTGAGGGAAAGGGCATGAGCAGAGTCTCCTCACGGTTGCAGGCAGGCAGCCATTTAGCAGAGTTTGTGCATCTCTGCGGGTGCGCACACCACTGTGGGTCCCTGTGTTTCACTCACGTGGGAGCACGCTCTCTGTGCTTCCTGTTTTGTTCTTTGGGTGGCCTGTTTGTTTTTGTGGGTGGGGTTTAGTTTGGTCATTTTTCTTTGTGATACCTCTTGGCGCATAGGACTAGGAAAGGCCTCGCTGCGGGCCCTGGGTCAGGTGAGGCCCAAGGGGGATGGCCCTGGGTCAGGTGAGGCGCCCTATGGGGATGGCCCTGGGTCAGGTGAGGCGCCCTGCGGGGATGGCCCTGGGTCAGGTGAGGCCCCCCTTCAGGGATGGCCCTGGGTCAGGTGAGGCCCCCCTGCAGGGATGGCCCTGGGTCAGGTGAGGCCCCACTGACTGGCCTTTGGGTCTTCCCAGTGTTTCACTCTTACAGACCCCAAAGACAGACAGCCTCCTGGAGACCACCCTGGCTGAGGGGGAGGAGGGGAGCCTTCCCCGGCTGGAGTCACACTGTCACGGCGCAGAGCACAGGGCAGTGTCCTGTTCTGTGACGCTTCTCCCAGAGCGAGGCTCCTTGACAGGTCAGAGGTTTGTTTCATGGCAGCCAGTTCCTGATGGAGAGATTTCGAAAATCATTATAGCCAGCCAGCGTGAGATACCCAAGGCTTGGAGCGCAGGCGGGCTTGTGGAAGATGAAAGCTCCCCGCTCCAAACGTGAGAATCCCAGACCACCCCCCCCCACCCCAGATCCCGCACATCTGGTTCTTACTCCATTTTCAACAAGCTGGGGTATACTTAGCCTGGGGAACAGACCAGGAGGACAGAGTCTCCTGGCCCCAAATGCTGTCTGTGTTCAGATCGTGGTGGAAGCAGGAGAAATTTAGAAACAACAGTCCTGTGCATCAGAACAAGTCTCAGTGGTTAATGGGAGGTTTCATGGGGATTGTCTCATGCCCCCGGCATGCTCTGGGGAAGGCAGCACTGCAGCCAGCCCTGGGCACAGGGGGGAACGCTTGGGAACAGGTGTCACACCCTGAGCTTGCCAGGCCTTGTCCCGGGGCGACACGCAGGAGGGGCTGCAGGTTAACCCAGTCCTTTCTCTGGGGAAAACCCCGACATCCCCCTGGATTTCTGCCAGGGGTCAGGGCGGGGACTCAGCCTGCCCAGAGGGTAATCCTCTAAATGACCTTCTCTGCCTGTTGCCTGGAGATTGTCCCCTGGGGTCAGCTCCGAGATGCAGGAGCCATCCCAGTGCTTCCGGATGCCTCTCCACCACCACCACCACCCCCGCCCCGCCCGCCAACCAGGGCACCTGGCCAGGTGGGGCTTGAGTGGCCGCTGTATACCCAGCCCTCATGCCAGACACGTACCATCTTATTTCCCCTCCGTCACCACCCCGTTCCCATTTACAGACGAGGAAATGAGGCTGATTGTCTCGCTGAAGGTCAGCGTGAGCTCTGGCTCAGGCGGCAGGCGTGGCAGGATGTTCCCTTCACCCCGAAACTGCCCTGGATCAACTCTAGCCCACTTCCCATTTGAATGTCACTCTTCTGCTTCCGGAGTCCGGAAGGCCCTGGAGCAGGGGGTGGAGAAGGGACACGGAAGGGGTCTGGGGAGTGGCCACTCATTCAAACTTCAGGTAAAGTTAGACTCAGGAGTCAGGGCTCTGCTAGGTCATAAACTGGCCCCTGAATCTGGCAACAGCGATGCACCAGGCGTGTTGTTACCTCTGTAAGGCATGTGGGCTTCCTGTTGTCTGCCGGGAGGTGCACTCTCGCCCACCGCAGAAACTCTGGGCTGTGCCCCGGCCATGCACTCCTGCGCCCACGGAGGCCTGCACTTCTGGCCTCCTGTGCGTGGGTCAGCCTGTTGAGCTGCTGTATAAAAGTGAGTGTAATTACTTCCCTCCTGTCAAGTCTTTTAGTGGCAGAAGCTTAAAAATGATCTTCGGGAGCCATTAAAACGTTTCGGATCAATAGAGGCATTTGTGCAAGTCACTAGCACTTAAAGTGATGGGGCTGCAGTTAACCCAGGGGCGCCCCGAGGGCAGGCCAAGGACACGTGACCGTCCGCTTGCTTGCTTGTCGGGGGTGAACCTCACTTCCGGGCGAGTCATCCTCTTTTGTAGCCGAGGTAGTTTGGGGCTCCAGCTGTCACCTGGTTCCGCAGGTCGCCTCCTTCCTGGGGTCCCCACTCGGAATGACATCAGCGTTTGCTCAGTCAACCGAGGAGTGTTGGTGGAGCTTCTCCTTGGGGCCGGAAACCAGAGGGCAGTTAGGGACGAGCGCTGGAGGAATCCGGTGTCTCGCAACCTCCTAGCGGCCCTTCAGACTTCGTTTCATTTTCTCCATTTTAGAAACGGAGACACTGAGGATCGTAGACCTCCTCCGGGATTCAGAACCGCAGTTCGAATCCCACTTTGCCCAGCTCCGAGTCTCCAGGACCGATTCCCCCACTTTATTACCTTCCCTTTCCAGGGCTGGGGTCCATTGACCGTGTGTAAGTCGTCACGGGTCTCGGCCCCCAAATTGTCCTCAGCCGACATGCCGTGGGGCCCCGTTGAGTCGGGCTCACTGGGACGTGTGTGGCGGCACAGACCTGACTTAGCCTGTTGGAGTCACGATGAGGGCGAGGCCTCTTCTCCAGGGGGCCCGGCAGGGGCCGCCCGTCTCCTGAGCTGGATCCGGGGCTCTCTCCACGCCCTTGCAGGGTTGTCCGAAGAGTTCGGAACGCTCGCTCAGAATGGCATCGAGATCCACAGTGTCTTGCATCCCACTTCCTTTTTGGGCAAGCCACTGCCCCTCGTCTTCCCGTGGACACAGGTGCGGGGCTCTCGCGGTGCGTGGCGCTGGGGCAGATGATGGCAGGAAGCAGCAGCAACCTGGACAAACTGATCTTTCGGGCGTGGGGTCTGCTGGGCTCGCTCCGATCCCCCTGCCTCCTCACCACGTGACCTCAGCTCCCCTCCTGAACCTCGTCTTCCTTGATCTACCACTCCCGCTGCTCCGTTTTCTAACGGAAAAGCTAATGAGATGGACAAACCCTAAAAGAGCAGCAGGGAAAGTGAGCGTCCTCCCCGCGTGCCGTTCAGAGCGTCCTCCCCGCGTGCCGCCTCTTTTCCGTCTCCGGTGTTTGTGGGGGAAAGGCTGAGAAACAGCTGATTGTTTTAGCTGTGACGTTATTGCCATCAAAGGTTTGTCTCTACCCAGTTGAGTCTTGTTGGAAATGTGGCCAGGATTTACTCTGCTGGTTTAGAAAAAGAGCTGAGGGTCAGGGTGGTGCAAAGATCTCTCACTGTGGCTCCTTTGAAAGTGAGGCTTACACGTCAGGTGTGTCCGTGTCCCTGGTCCTATGCTGTGGGGGTCGGGGACACTGCACCACCTGGGCCACAGCTCAGAGCAGGTCAGGCAGAACCTCTTAGGGTGGTGCTCCTCTGACTCAGGCTGCCTGCCCCTCCACCTTCAGGGCGCACACGAACGCCGGGGGTCCCGTGAAAATGCAGAGCCTGATCCCTGGCAGCTGCCGGTGCTGCTGGTCTGAGGACCACACGTAGAGCAGGGGTCATGGAACATCAGGAAGGGACAGGGCCTGATGGGGGCCACGCCCGCTGCCAGTACACCAGCGGGGTGCAGGGAACAGGACTTCAAAACCAAGCGCCATCTTCTGTGGAGACCAGGGGCTCAGGACCATAGGCTGCCGGAGCTGCAGCAGGAGAGGCCCCGCCGGAACTCGGCGATTGTACCGGGATGGGAAGGTGAGGGAGCAGCTGAACTGCTGTGCATTATCTGGTCCCTCCAGGGACCGGACCCTTGCACTGTTCTTTTCGTAAAGCAAATGCTTGTCCAGAAACGGCTCTCTTCCTCTTTTTTTTCCGTGAGGCTCTTCTTGAGCTTCCCATGGCTGCCCAGAGTTCCTGTTAGTGATGCAGGGAAGACTGCATGCTCGGGACAGAGGCCAGGGCAGGTTTCTCTGTGGCCCTCTCCTAGAGGCAGCGTCGCCCCTGGCTGCCTCGTGCCCACACCCACCCCGGGAAACTAGAATGAGGACGGCATGGGCCTCAGCCCGCCTGGCCTGATCCTCATGGAGCCTGAGCTGTCAGTGTCTCTTCCTGGGGGTAGAGGCCTTGGCACTTTGGGGTGTGAATGTTTGGGTTGAGAGGTGCCCATGGTGGGAGCAGAGACCGCAAGGGTGAAGGTGAGTCTGACCCTCCACGAACAGCTGGCAGCATGCCCGCGTCCACGCAGAAACGGTGCCCGGCTTGGACTGGAGTGGATGGACCCTGTACAGTCTGCCTTCACGCCTGCCACGGGGCAGGTGCCCAGGCGGTGTGTCCCTGGGCCTTTTCCTGCTGTCGGCTATCCGATCGGGGAGTGGGTAGGAAGCGACTTGCCGAGAAGGAGCCGTGTCCTTGAGGAGTCCGTGCTGGACGAGGCAGGCAGACGGGCCAAAGTGGGCAGCAGGGTCTGGTTGCATCACACACGGCCTCCCCAGACTCCTGGGCCTGGCAGGGTCACACGTGGAGTCAGCTGAGAGGCTCCGTGTCCTTCAGGAGGCCGTGGCAGGGCATCAAGGACAGCGGGAAGTCTAGGATCAGTTTTACAAGCTTTGGGATCCACGTCATTTTCCCTGATAACATTGCCCTTGGGCCACTGTTGCTGGAAGGGAAAGGGCAGCTGCATCCCAGGCCTCTGCCCCCTTCCAGCTGGCCGTGTGCAGTGGCACTGAGCCTCTGTGTAACAGACAGTGTCCTTGTCTGTTCCACGAGGGTAAACCCTCACCTCACAGCATTTGTGTCAAGATTAAAAGACTGGGCACCTGGGACTGTGCCCAGCACACCCAGGGGTTGTCACTGAGTGGATGTGTGTGCTCTCCCGTGATGCAGGGTGCCAAGAGGCAGCACCTGTCGGCTCTGTGACACGCGCCCTCCGTGCAGACCGAGGATTCACTGCTCGCCACCTTCCGTGCAATTCTAATTTCAGCGTTTCTCAGCTCGCTTTTGAAATAGCATCTATCATCCCCGGGTGTCTGCACAGCCCAGAAACGGGAACAGCCCCCCTCTGCAGGCAGACGTGTGAGATCCAGGTTCACGCTTTTCCTGGGTAAACACCAGATCCAGCAGGAGGGGGTGGGAAGGCCTGGACCTGAGCCAGGACCATGTTCAAGGAGCACGCGTTGAGCACCTACCGTGTGCCGGTGCCTTTGCACACAGTGGTCCCGTGGGGAGCTAAGGGGACAGGCTCAGAGATGTGCAGCTCCATCCACACACCTGGGGCCACACAACCAGCAGTCAGATGGGTGTCTCCCTCGGCGGCGCGCGCCGTGTCTAATCAGCCCAGTGACTGTTTGTGCCCCAAGGCAATCAGCAGACGCTTCCCCATCAGAGCCTGTCCTGCCTCATCTCAGGTGACTGGGTGATTCTGCTCCTGCTGTGTTTTCTTAGGGTCCTCTGAGAGGTGCTTGTGCACAAGCACTCAGCTAGGAGCTCCTGCACATCATTCAGAATCATGACCCAGGAGGGATCTAGGGAGGGTAACTGCACAGAATCGGGAGCAGCAAAAAACAGATGTGGTGTCCCGCTGTCACCACACGGCCTCCCCTCGCCCGGCTCACCCACAGTGGCCCATAGCCAGACCAGTGAGGCCGTCTGGTCGGAGAGAGATGGGTGCTTGGGTGCCCAGCCCGGGACCAGGCCTGGCTGAGGTCCAGTCTGGGTGTTCCTCTCCTGAGCTGGCCCCGAGGGCAGCTGGGTGGGGGGTCCCACTGCGCTCACCCTGGCTTTCCTCCCACCTAGGTCCTTGCTGTGAAAGTCCTCAACCTTGTCCTGCCGAACGTGTCCCTGGGCCGGATCGACAGCAGCACGCTCTCACGGAATAAGACGGAGGTGAGTCTTTCTGAAGACCTGGGGCAGCTGGGGCAGGTGGGGTGAGAAGGCACCAGCCCCGGTGGGGAAATGCAGGTTTTAGCTCTGCCTCGGCCGTTTACCACTATTCAGCCGAGGCTCTGTGCGAGGTGATGGGGACTTTGAAGACGTGTGAGATGCTGTCTGGCTTCAGGATTGGGTGGGAAGGAGTGGGTGGCCGTGCTGCCTGAGCTGTACCCACGTGTGCAGAGGAGCTGACCAGATGAAACTGTGTGTATCAGCCGGGTCTCTTTTGGTTGTAAGTGATAGAAACCCAACTCAAAGTGATTTGAGCAAAAAGAGGGATTTATTGGTGAGTGTAACTAAAGGCTTCACGCATGGCTGGGTCCAGGGGCTCAGAGTCTTGTTCACCATCTCTCTCCCCACCTCTCATATCCCCAAACTGTCCCCAAGTGGAGGCAAAGCTGGCCACCAGCAGCTTTTACATGAGCAGCTGCAGTGGGAAGGCGTCACCTCTTCCCAACAGAAGCCTCAGGGCTGGTTCTTACCGGCTGACAGTCTGGGTTATTGGTCCAGGAAAGCGGGCGGCATCAGTCCTGCCCAACCTCATGGCCTGACAGCAGAGAAGGGCAGTTCTGTTGGGGGGCGGGGTGGATAGGATCGAAGATGGAAGAATGGATTCAGGCCAGGCCACGTGCCCACTGGGTTGGGAGCTGGAGGGGGATCCGAGGAAGGGGGTTCATGGCAGAGGGAACAGCACGGGTGAAGATCTCGGCACGAAGAGCCTATTTGCAGAACAGCCGGTAGTTCGCTTCAGCCACAGTGTAGAGGTGAGTGGCAAGGGGTAAACTGAGGGCAGGTCAGGAGGCACCGCTGTGCCAGGGGTGGGCTACTGCCCTCAAGCAGAGCTCGCTGCCCTCTGTAGGAGCAAAACCAGCCCAGGAGGCTTAGCGTGCAGGCTGAGGCAGCCTCAGGGGAGATACGCTGGGGGTTGTGCGATGTCACCGTCACCCACTCTGGGACCAGACCCCAGGGTTCAGCATGAATGCCGGTGCACCTTGACGCCAGGTCCATGCAGAGACCAGCGTTGGTCTGTGAAGGTGCTGCTCAGTGAACCAAGCCTCTCCCCTTTAGTGAAGGGCCAGCACCTCATCCCCTGCCTGTGACGGGGCCCTTATGCTTCGTGCCAGGCTTGTGTCACGTGCTCACCCATGCACAGCTCCTGTATCGCAGGGGAGCAGACTGAGGCTCGCCCATATGCAGGCACGTGCCCGGGGTCACCCGCTGATGGGACTAGCCTCAGAGCTTAGGTCAGTGGGTCCCCAGCCCGCTCTGTCTGGGGGGCAACAGCCCAGTGGACAGGTGGCACCCTGGGCGCCTGGAAGGGATGGTCCTCAGGGTTGAGCACCTCACTGTGCTGTTCTCCTGCCTCAGCCTCGCATCTTGTGTCAGGAGTTTGAAACCACAGAGTTGCTGGCTGCCCACGGACCCTGGAAAGTGGAGCGGGTGCCCGGCCTCCTGGTGGCCTCCCCCACTTCCTTGGGGCATGAGCGGTCGGACTCTGGCTTCATTATAAAATATGGCCTCCTGGCCCTTTGAGCCACTCAGAGAGCAGGCAAGTAAATGGGGATCATCCCTAACGTGTAGGAAGGGACATTCCCAATCAGGGGTCAAAACCCAGGCCTCCGAGGGCCAGCTGTTTATGAATCCAGCTTGTGTGGGCCCTGTGCGGGGAGCCTGAGGTGGGCCAGTCCGCCCAGCCGTCCACATTCCATTTGAATTTTAATTTAATCTATTTTTTAAAATATTTATTTGGCTGTGCTGGGTCTTAGTTGCAGCACGCAGGATCTTTAGTTGCGGCATCCGGGATCTAGTTCCCTGACCAGGGATCGAACCCGTGCCCCCACCCCACCCCCCACCCCCCGCATTGGAAGCGCAGAGCCTTAGCCAGTGGACCACCGGGGAAGTCCCCAATCTAATTTTAAAAGCAGTGACTCCCAAACCTGTGTCCTGGGGCCAAATTTGACCCACGAGGGTCAAGAATATTTGAGTAAAGGAAGATTTTCATTCCAAAAGGCAGATCTGTGTGGTGAGAAGGCACAGTGTTAGGACCCAGAAAGACTGAAGCCAGTCATGACGTGAGCGAAATCAGCATTAACCCCATTTCAGAGGTGAGGAAACCGAAGCTCGGAGGTTAAATCATTTGTCCGAGGTTTTTACACAGCCAGTCGGGGGCGGAGCTGGGATCCGAAGCCTTTGATTCAAAGGTCTGTGCTCGGACGCCTCCTCCCAGCTAGTATTTACAAGCGTGAAGCGCTTTCTCCTGCTTTGTAATTACTGGTCCACACGGCCCGCGGCTGGAGACCATCGCTCTGTGTGCAGGATCGCTTGCGAGGGGAGTCGTGTGGGCAGGGCCTCCTCCTCCTGCCGCAGTCAAATAATGGCTCTGGCTCAAACGTGCAATTTCCAGAAAAACCACTGATCTGTGTGGCAGCTGTGCTAGGACAGCAGTGGGCTGGAGGAGGGACCTCCCTTTGAGAGGAAACATCGAGGTGCAAATCCGAATTGTTTATTTCACCACCTGAAGGGCAAAGGAAGGAAAGAAAGGTAATGAAATGATTCCGAACCCTCATTGTTTGAAAGTAGCAAATTTCAGAGCTTTTATCTCCTTTTTGAAATAATGGAAATTTCATTGAAGGCCTTATAAAAACCAGCAGAGTCTGGGTGAACATCCAACATGCAGGCTCCCCTTGTGTGCTCACCCCGCCCCCGTCCACGGTGGCACACCGTCCTGTATCAGGTTTCTGACGGGTCAGGTAAGCGGGGTGATTCTTCAGAAGCACTCATAAATTTCCCTGCTGGGAAGACTCGGAGGGTGGACTCGGGCTGGAATAAATAGGAAGCAGGAGCTTCCAGTCCTTGGCATCGAGAATTAGTCCCTCTCCTGCCTTCTCTCCGAGTCGCCCTTTCAACATTCTGCTGAGCTTTAAAAATAGCAATGCCGAGGGGGAAAATGTGTTCAGAAGAGGCACCTCCCAGATCCAGCACCGGGTGTCTTAAGGCCCATCTTTAGCCGAGACATTTCCCCTGGAGTCCTGCAGCTATAAAAGCCTCAGGAAGAAAAGAACCATTTGCTTCACAAGCTTAACTGAAGTAGGACCTGGGGGAAGGGGCTGCAGGCTGGGATGCGGGGGGCCTGGCGGGCTCCCGGGAGGATTCGGAAGCCGGCTGTGTCTCTGGGGAAGCAGGGCGTTTGTTCGGGGCTTGATGTGGCAGCCAGGACCGACAGCATGACACCCTCACTTCACAGAAGCGAGCCCTCAGACGCACAGGCTCCTAGCATGTAGGAGTAAAGGCAGAAATGCCTGGCGTTGGCTCAACACCACCCAGTGCACCGTGTCGCGGCCCTCCGTCTCCCCGTCCACAGCTCCGGGAAGTCAGTCTTAACATCAGTATTTGCATTTGTGGAAACTTAGGCCCAGAGAGGGCAAGTCACTTATCCAGGGACACACAGCTACTAAGTAAGGATTTGAGCCTGGGTCTCTCATGTCCGAGCCTTAGTTCTGAAGTGCTCCTGGAACTGAAATCCTGGGAACAAGCAAGTGGCTGCTCGGCCTTTGTTGTGTTTGTCTACGCAGTTAGAGTCGTCCCCAGTCAGCACAGCACATTGGCGTACTGTACTGACATACTAATCATTCCACCCTCAACCACGGGTTTTTCGGAATGTGATGAATCCCTCCCACTCTGAAAAGCCTTGAATGTTCTAAATAGTTCTCCGGCCAAGGCCGCTGGAGGGGGAGGTGCTGAGGAGCTCCTGACACCCCCTGCACACCATCGATGACCGTCCGACCGCTCACAAACAGGTGCCCTGCTTCCCTTCCAGGCCCCATCCCCTGGCCCCGTGTCCAGGTCTTCTGCTGGGAACGTCCACTGTTTATATATTGGGGCAGTTTGTCTTCTAGAACCGAGTCTCTGTTCTCTGTAACTGTGCTGGGACGCCCTCCAAGCGTCTCCTGGCTGGTTTACATTCATGCCTGCTGGCCATATGGTGAGTTCCGGGCACCCAGGGAGCTGAGAAGGGGCCAGCTCTGCTCCCTTGCATTTCTGTGGTGGGTTCCGCTCCAGACCCCCACCCAGTGTTTGCGGTGGGCCTGCCTCAGGGGTCAGGGCACTGTTGCCCTGTTGCCTGCGTGTCTTCTGCCCACACGGCTGGGAGGCCACCTGCCCGTGGCCCTGGGAAGCTCCTGCCAGCTCTGGGAAGGCTCGGCCATGCCGAGGCGTTTGACTCATCGTAACCAAGGCTAAAGATAGGCTGAGCCTCCCATGCTGCCCCCAGGACACAGCCTCCCACAAGCCCCTTTGAGAGCCGGTTATTACTTTTCAGTATAACCTGCTTGTTTAGCTGATCTTATTCTGTGACTCGCCATCATTCGTAGCTCATATCGCCACAGAAGACTTGTCTATTTCGGGCAGCTGATAATTTACCAGCGCCTTAAAAAAAAAAAGGAGCCATGGGAACATCTCTTGGCGTTGGCCTCCGTGTGGGGTGGCCGGCTGGGCAGCGTGTGAGCGGGCCTAGCTCAGGCCGGCGCCCTGCATAGGGGTCCGTTGATCTACCCCTGCCTCCCAGCCCTCCTTCCACCGGGACTCTGGCAGAAACAGCTCTGAGCTCAAGAGAGGCGGGTCCCTGAGGTCAGCAGCTGTAATGGCAGCAGAAAAGCCAGGGCCTCTGTGGAGAGACTGTCAGGGGCAGTTCCAGCTGCCAGCCAGGCCCCAGACAAAACGAGGCACCGCCTGCTCTGCAGGCCCTGCTCTGCAGGCCCTGCTCTGCCTCTCTCCCAAGTACCTTCACGGGTCCAGCAAGAAAGCAGCCGCAGGCCAGGCAGGGCTCACCCGCCACAGTCTCAGAGATACCACCGGTGACCTCGCAGCAGGCCGGGAGATGAGGGTTGGAGGCCCATTTACGTGCGGATAGGATGCAGCTGACTTGCCAAGGCTTGGGATACTGGCCAAGCCCGATA